CATGGACACCCCTATAGGCCCCTATAGACAGAGACCCCCAGGGACTCCCATGGACACCCCTATAGGCCCTTATAGACCCCTGTAGATCCCCTATAGGCCCCCTGAAACTCCAGCTGGTGCTGCTGGGCAAGCAGTGAGACCCCCCATAGACCCCCTATGGGCTCTCAGAGCCCCTTATGGACCCTCCTATAGACACCTGTGCACCCCCATATAGGCCCCTGTGGACCCCCACAGCCCCGGGAGGGTCCCTGTGGCCCGGGAGCTGTGGTGGGTCCCCTATAGCCCCCATAGGACCCCCCCTGTCCCCCCCCAGGCCATCGATGACGACTGTAACCAGACGGGGCAGCTCCTCGCCGCCATGTTGGACTGGCCGCAGGTACCGCGGGGCACGACGGGACACTGGGGGTGTGCGGCTATCCCGGCATCCCCCGCGGCACCGACCATAGAGATCGACCATAGAGATCATCGCAGTGCGCGGGGCATGACGGGACACTGGGGGTGTGCTGCCGGAGGGGGGATATATCCCATCGTCCTTTGCGGCGGTTTCTGCGCGGGGGGGGCCCAGTTTATGCTGGGAACGCCTCAGTTGGTACTGGGAGGGTCCTCACTTGGTACTGGGAGCGGCCGTTTCACACTGGGAAGGGCTCCCAGCCCTTACTGGGGCAATCCAAGCCCATACTGGGATGCCCCCATTCCTTACTGGGATGCCCTCATTTCACACTGGGATGCCCCCACTCCATTGTGGGTGGTCCCACCCCGCACTGGGACGTTCCCGGTCCATCCCAGTCCCCTCTGTCCCCAGGGCACCTTCGCCTCCCGTGTCCAGCTGGAAGGCGGCTCCGTGCGGGTGGAGCGGGAGGTGGACGCGGGGCTGGAGACGCTGCGGTTGCGCCTCCCGGCCGTTCTCACGGCGGATCTGCGGCTCAACGAGCCCCGTTACGCCACCCTGCCCAACATCATGGTGAGTGGGGCACCCCCAACCCCCCCGAGCCAGGGGGACCCCCCCCAGTCCTGGGACCACCCCCGCAATCCTGGGACCCCCCTCAAAACCCCCATTGACTGGGCAGACCTGGGTGTCCCCCCCCTTTTGGGTGCCCCCCGAACCCCTAGGTCCCCTTTGGGAGAATTTGGGGAGGGTTTAGGGGTGTCTCCCAACCCCCTGGATCACTTTGGGGTGGGTTTGGGAGGGGTCCCATCCCTTGGATCCTTTTAAGTGATGTTTGGGGGGGGGGCCCTTCAACCCCTTGGATCCCTTTTTTGGGGGGCGTTTGGGGAGGGGATTTTGGGGGGGTTGGGGTCTGACTCGCTGTGCCCCCCAGAAAGCCAAGAAGAAGCCCCTGGAGGTGATCCCAGCCGCGGATTTGGGGGTCCCTGCAGGCCCCCCCCGGCTCCGGGTGCTGCAGGTTCAGGAGCCCCCGGCCCGGGCGGGGGGGGAGAAGGTGGAAAACGTCCCGGCCCTGGTGGAGAAGCTGCGGAGCTGCGGCCGCATCTGAGGGGTAAACCAGGACGGACCAGTATGGACCAGTGCCCTCCAGGAACCCCCCCAGTAACCCCCAGTGCCTTCCAGCCTGGGCCAGTGCCCCCCCATCCCCATCTAGTGCCCCCAGGACCCCCCCCCCGTCAGCCCAGGCCCCCCAGTGCCTTGTACTTCCCCCAAATAAAGGCGTGGCTGCTCGATGTCATTGTGTCTGTGGGGGTGCGGCCTGAGGGTGGGTCAGATACAGGACCATTCATTCCCTTTTTGCTGGGTTTTGGGGGGGTGGGATCAGAATGGACCACTTTGGTACTTGGGGGGGTCCCAGTGGGGGCCAGTTTGTCCCCAGAGCATCCTCGTTTGTCCAGTCCCATCCCAGTTCGTCCTGGTCTGGTCCCAATTTGGCCAAGTTTGACACAGTCCATCCCAATTTGTCCCAGTTCATCCCAATTTGTCCCAGTTTATCCCAGTCTGTCCCAGTTTATCTCAGTGCGGTCCCGGTTTACCCCAGTCCATCCCAATTTGTCCCAGTTCATCCCAATTTGTCCCAGTTTATCCCAGGCTGCCCCAGTTTATCTGAGTGCGGTCCCGGTTTACCCCAGTCCATCCCAATTTATCCCAGTGTGTCCCAGTTTGTCCCACTCCGGTCCCAGTTTGTCCCAATTCGTCC